TCTATCTATCTATCTATCTATCTATCTATCTATCTATCTATCTATCTATCTATCTATCTATCTATCTATCTATCTATCTATCTATCTATCTAAGCTATCTATCTATCTATCTATCTATCTATCTATCTATCTATCTATCTATCTATCTATCTATCTAAGCTATTTTTAATGCTGCTAAAAAGACACCCCCTCCCCCGCTCTGGAAAATTTATCTTTACGAAAATGTTTTGTTTATCCCTGTCACAAAATGAGACTTTACATTTATATTAGAATCTTCTTGAAGCGTAGATTATGAAAATACAAAACAGATTTAAAATTGAGCTTGTTTTCACAGAGTAATAATTAAGGCAATGAAATTTGAAAATTTCAAATTTTAACGGCAAAAGTTTTTGAAAACCGCGAAGGTGGGAAATTCGTAACTAATACGTCATAGTAGGGACACATTGCCTACTCGCCTAAGTGAAAAGTATATAAACACTAAGTGAGAATCACAATCAAGCTTGTCAAAATTCAATAAAAATGTCTTCATCGAGTTCAGATACGGAAAATAACAGTTACCAAAGCGATGACTGACTGGAACTATATTCCTGGGCCGTACCAAATCGAGTGAAATCGATGAAAACACCAGCGAAGCGAAGTAAAGCAGCGCCGATCATGAGCACGACGTTGGTCCATATGTTAATGAACCAGCGGCCGACAAAGATTGGCTCAAAAGTTACCGCGAAAGCAACTACAACAAAGGTCACAAAGGCTTGATGGTTCAGAATTGAGTAAATGGAGCTAACTCGAAGTTCAGGAATGCAACGCATGGTATTGCACTTATTCCGCATGATTTTGCACTCGAACAGTCTCGTCCTCTCGGCGCCAATATCAAAGTAATCGGTGCAATTTCACCAGAGCCTGCGCGGAGACTTCCAGAGTATTTGGATAAGTATATGAGTGAAAATAAGGTCGTTGTAGTAGTCTCATTTGGCTCAATTTTCTCAGACTATCCAACAGGCCTTGCTCAAAGTATTGCGGATGAACTAAGCCAAGTCTCTGCTGCTGTTTTATGGAAATATTCTGGTGCACTGCCAAAAAATCTCGGAAAAAATGTAAAATTATTCCATGGATTCCTAGAAACGAGTGTTCATTTAATGACATTTTAGGCCATTCGTCTACCAAGGTTTTTGTCACCCATGGTGGGTTGAATAGCTTTCAGGAAAGTGTCTATCATGGGATCCTATGGTTCTCATACCAATGGCAGCTGACCAACCCAGACAAGCAGATTTGGTACGACATAAAGAGCTTGGTGTGGCCATTGAATGGAAGTCTATAAAGGCCAATGGCAAAGTGTTGCGAAATGCTATCAATGAGGTTTTAAATAACAAAGTTTATAAGGAGAATACTAAAAGACTTTCAACAATAATGAAAGACAGAAAACAGACCCCAAGCCAGGAGGGTGCAGATTGGATTGAATATGCATTACGTCATGATGGTGCCCCTCATCTCACCAGCGAAGCAATCGATTTACCAGAGTATAAATTGCATATGTTTGATGTTTTCATCTTCCTTGTTGTCGTAGTATGCCTCGTTATTTATCCCATACTACGTTTGTGCTGCTGTATTTTTCGTGCTTGTGGGAGAAAGATGCAAGTTAAGGAGAAGCAGACTTAACAAGCCTGGACGGCTTGACCTTTTTAAAACATTTTCCATTACTGGCGTAGAAACTACAACATACAAACTACAAGAGAGAAAAAGAGAAGAAGAAGTAAAAGAGAAGCAGATTTAAGCGTGGACCTTTCTTAAAAACATTTTCCAATTTCCATTACTGGTGTAGAAACTACAACATACAAACTACAAGAGAGAAAAAGAGAAGAAGAAGTAAAAGAGAAGCAGACTTAAGCGTGGACCTTTCTTAAAAACATTTTCCAATTTCCATTACTGGTGTAGAAACTAAAATGTTTTCGCTTCAGCTATAACATGGTCTGCAATATTATTCCACTGTATCATTTATTTAAATGTAAAAAAAATTATAGTAAGTTTTTTTGCTGTGGCTTGCATTCTTGCAATGTGTTTAACTGACTTATTCAATTTTCATTAATATAATTCTGCAATAAAGTCATACTGAGATCTCAGCTAACGCATTACAGATCGGGCTCTACATTGCGTATAATGTTTTGAGATGTTAAAAAATTGGCCTGAATTAAATGCCGGTGTCCCAGGATTTTCGCCCCCCCCTACAATTTCGCCCCCCGGTGTCAAGCGAAATTCCTGACCTCTGCGAAATACCTGACCTAGCGTGACGGGTCAGAAATTTCGCGCGTACAGGCGCGAAAAGCATTATTGCTATATCGCGTAAAGCTTTATTGGTTGACGTAGACATGCCATGTACCTGGTCTCTTGTTCGAGACTGTCCATGTCACAGAAACTAAAATAATGTATAGTTCTTTGATTTTGAAGTAAAGTTCGTTTCGTGTACATGCCCAAGTCACATGTTTTCAAAACCAAGTTAGTTTTATTTTCCGTACAATTTTTCCAAAATCTACATGCATTTTACGTATTTGGAGATCCTGTGGGTATGCGAAAATCGAGCTTTACCTCGACTATAATTTATAGTGTAATGTAATTTTTTGTGTAAAGTTTGTAAGGGAGGTGCCTCGCATGGGCTTTTTCTGACCCGTTTGCACCTTTCCTTTTGGGAAACATCCATTTATCGTTATTGTTAGTATTCCCAATAAAGTTATAAAAGTAAAAGTAAAAGTAAAAAGTAAGAAATACATGACGCTTGCTAAATTCTAAGTCGGCCAAAACTGTTTTTTAGAGTTTAGATAAAATAATCATGATGTTAATTTCTAATACTTCGTTAAATATTTCAAATCGACATCGCTAAGTTTCAATCACAAACACTTTATAAAATTTCAAAGCGAATTGTGTGGTCGTGACCGCGAAATACACGATGTTTGCTAAATACGGTCCGTCGAAACGATTTTTAAGTCCATATGCGATGTTACTACCAAATGTTTCTAATATAGACATCGCTAAATCTAAACGGCCAACTCACGAACTCATTGTTGCTGCATACTAAATAGTGAGAAGGTCAAACGCGAAACGATTTTTAGTGCTTATAGTATAGTAATGCATATAGCATAACCTTTGAAACTGCTGGAGTCTATTTTATATCACTAAGATAGATCGCTTTTCGAGTGATTTTCTCCATATCTGCTATTCAAGCTTTATTATCGCTGAACGCTAACGTTCACAGTCAGTGGTATAGTGTCAATTCAGTTGATCAATTGTAGAATTGATGTTGGAAAATTTATGTATAGATAAAATGACTTTATAAATACACGTGTTGTCTGTTGAATTGCGAAATTTATGAGCCAAAGTCATTCATGCGCATCGTCTGCGCATGGGCAGTTCGACAATAGTCAGATATTTCGCAAGTCAGGAATTTCGCGTCACACCTGTCGCGAAATTCCTAGGAATATCGCCCCCCCCCCCCTGGGGGGCGAAAATCCTAGGAAATTCGCCCCCCTTTAGGAAATTCGCCCCCCTTTAGAAACTTCACCTTTTCTTTAGGATTTTTGTCCTCCGTTCAAAATTTCGCCCTTCCTAACAGACATTACATGGCTTTAGTCATTTGAAATCAGTATCAATTCAAAATTGTTAAGACAGAGCTTGAAATAACAACCGATCAATGATCGGCATGGAATTGCTTATGATCGGCGGAAAAGCAGAGTTTCGGTTTCCAACCTGAAAAAATCAGGGAAAGTCATGTCGAGAACTTTTGGAACGTTATTTCAAACCCTGTAAGAATACAAATTTACAATTACATGTATCGAAAGGGCTTACACAGTTCACAGTTAATAGACTAAGACTTATGACGCTTCACAGCACACCATGCATATTTTGCATTTTTAGTGTTAATCCTTAAACTCATTGTTAAAAAGTAATCACCGTGGTGGTTATTGTAATTATTGGTATTGTTTTGCATCCAGTACATTTTGTCGTTATCGGAAAATGTATGGCTTACAAGTTGTCACTATTTTTTACTTGCATTATTTCAATATAGTTTGTAAATTTCAGAAGCGAAGGGTACAACTTGCCAATAAGCAATACTCCAATAATATACGTTTCAAAAAAGACAAAAAAGCTTTTAGTTTTGCAGAGTTACATTCTCGAATGTTTAAGGCACTAATAAAATCAAAGTATCATGAAATTATTTGAATAAACCACACCACATATATATAATGCAATTTTCTTTGCGGAAGTTAAAAATCAAGATTACATCACTGACACTGACATGGAAAGTTGACTATTCAATGGACAATAGTCAATACGCTTCCCAACAAATTCCATAGATTTTTTATTAATCCTATAGTTTATTGTTAGCAAGTGATTTTTTGTGGCGGCTATTGTTAACACTGGTATTGATAAAATTTGCAAGCGATTGTTTTTATAATATGTTATGTCAACTTATGTGAATGTAACTGCCAGAAGAATACAACATAATTTTATGAGATCTCTGTGGGCAATGGTTCCACTTTAGATGTGTAGAATGTGACACTAGTCTAAGTACCTCAAATGAGTGGTTATGCAGACTGTGCACACCACCAGCTGCTAAGAAGCTTAAAATGTGTATGTGCATGATTTTGTCTCCTTGTAATAAATAAATCACACAATAAATCTCTTCAACTTGCAATCGTTTTGTTTTTAGATCAAAAATTCAAAATTTATATGGGGGGGGGCGAAATTCCTAAAGGGGGGCGATATTCCTAGGAGATTCGCCCCCCTGGGGGGCGATATTCCTAGGAGATTCGCCCCGGGGGGGGCGAATATCCTAGGAATATCGCCCCCCTTTTGAGAGGGGGGGCGAATCTCCTGGGGGGCGAATCTCCTGTGACACCGGATCACTGATTATAAAGTAATAGTAAAAATCCTAAAAGAAGGAACCAATTCCTTGTCATATGAAAGTAATACAACATTCTTCTTTTACAGACATTATAAAATGTAACATAATACCATAGGATGCATGGTATGACAGGATATTGAGGAGTACTGGAATAGCATACCTAATTCGAAATGATATTATTATTTGATTATTGTTTAAAATTTATTTGAAAATTTCACAAATTCTTTTCCGGTATTGCAAACTTGTTTCCCGTATACCATAGCTATACAGTGTGTATAAAAAAAGGTAATCGAACTTCAGCGAACTATTGTATCTCGGAGACTGAATTACTCTGCGTATGACCAAGATTGTTTTTCATATTCGGAAAGAACAGGCTTTTAGCTGTTGAATGGTATGTTCTTCATGCCAAATGGATAACAAATGAGCAAATACGAATCCGATAAAAAATGCTAGTCAGAATCGCATATTATCGCCGTTGAGAGTTTGGTCTAAAAGCCTAAAACCATTGAAAATTAACCCTCTTTAGGACTTAAGTTGAAGAATTTCACTTCAATAAACTACGCACATATTCATAATTATTAGCAAGTACGCTTGCTTGTGTCTGTTTTGATAAAGTAGGCAGCTGTAGGGAGGGGGGTCTAGGGAGTCTTAAAATCATCCAAATTAACTAACTATAGTGTATATTGATTAGATAGCAACACAACACAAATTATAATTTATGTACTGTATCACTACTTTCATTCTATGAAGACTTAAGATGGCAAATAACTATTAAATCAGTTTTACAAAATAGTACAGTATGTCATTTTCAAAAATAACCAGGCTATAAAGTGGACCATGTTGAGGAAAAACAACTTTGGTATTTCAATTAGTACCAATCAAAGTAACCAGCGGTAAACCTTGTGCCACCCGCTGGAGCTCCGGAGGACGCCAGCTTATTTTGAAGGCCCTGTTGCAGTGGGTTCCAGACATCCAGCATAGTACCATCAAAACATTGAACAGATTGCCAAAAAACTTTTCATATATATTTTTTGTTTTAGAAATTTTTGAATTTTTACTTAGAATGTAAGTAAAACTATCATAGAATCAAAATTTTTTTAAAATCTTGTAGTATGATGTTAAGGCTCATTTACAGTTGCAATTTTTGCTGCGATTTCTAATGTGATTTTCTTCTTTTGATGGATCTGAACCAGTGGATGAGTGATGAAAGTTCTGGGAATTTGTAATTACTCACGAACAGTATTATATATATACACCATATTATTATGAACTATATTATTACGAACAGTGTTATTTATATTATATTATAGTGTAACCCAATTTGTTATATATTTATTACTGTGACACTCAGCCTCCTTGTCTATAAGATATTTAAGAAAGGAGCCCAAATTTTAAAAGCCTTCTGGTTTCTTTTTGGGCTACCTTGCTATTTCATTACTATTCCTAATTTTGAAATATTTGTATATGTGTATATAAATGTATTGAATAAATTGACTTGACTTGATGTGTACCCTCATCTCAACATTCATAATTCATCCACTTGTTCACATACATCAGAAGAAGAAAATCGCACCTAAAATTGCAGCAAAAATTGCAAGTGTAAACGGGCCTTTAGGAATAAATACAACTACTTACTATGCAGTGAGTGATGTTGCCTACAGTATACATAAACAGACACCCACAACTGCAGAATTGCATTGTTATCTGGACATTTATTACATGGTACCAGGGTCTTTCCTCTTGGAGAGAAAAGACCCTGGTAGATGCTGGTCACATGATCTGCTAAAGTCTAGCAGATTTTTAATTAGCAATCCAAGATGAGGTCAATAAATATTTGATATTTGGATGATTTCTATAGTTTAATTTATAATTTGCATTTTGTATGATTGTCGTGAAGGAATCCAAGATAGTTAATTAGAAATCTGCTAGATTTTAGCAGATCACGTGACCAGCGTCTACCAGGGTCTTTTCTCTCCAAGAGGAAATACCCTGGGTACGAGGTTGAATTTTGATTTTCTCTATTTATTTAATATTTACTGTTAAATTTTTGAAATCTGGAGTGTGTAATTTCCAAACTTGCCAGTCAGGACCTTGATGGATGATCCATATGTATGTTACCCTCATTACACTGACCTGTAGGCCAAGTGTCTTAAATACCTCTTTTTCTGGGGGGTTTTTTCGTAGCCGAGAAATCGAGTTTGCGTTAGCTCATCGCAGGCTCAGGCTGCAACGACTAAGCCAAAATGCCATCAATTCCTCAGTTCCATGATTTAAATACCACAGTAACAAGCTCGTATTTATGTACGTAATAGCCGGCTCATGTCATGCTTGTGGTACGTTTTTCGTTTATTAGCCCATACACTTGTACGCATGCACACAATTCCGAACTCCAGTGCGCACAATTCCGAGTGCTCCAGTGACATAGTCACACAGTTTCGTTGAATTTTCAAAGAATTGTGCAGGTTTCCCATGGAAAATATGTTGTGTCGCACTCTGGACTCTATTGCGCGTGTTGAATTAATGTGTTTTTCTTTGTGTAACAACTCGAAAACCCCAAAATTTGGACCCAATGAATTTATACAATATAGTGGAATATAAACAAGGACAAGTTAAAGACCATGTAAAATCTGTTTTGCGCAGGCTTACATTCTGCGCAGGCTTACATTCCAATGGTCGGGACCTGACCGTTGGAATGTTATTAATATTTTGTATCTTTTGAACTTTCTTGAATTGAATCTCTAGTCTGTATTCATTTACAAGCATGGCGATCGAACCAGAAGAGTGTTAAAAATTCAGTATAATATATATCTATAATCATATTTTACAACTGTAGCACTGAGTTCAAAATGTAAACAAAGCGTTTGTTTACATTACGGACTTTACATGGTCTTTAAAGGTTTGACAGTTTGACTTTTTAATTAACAAGTATAAATATACATTGTAGACTCATATATACTTGTGTTGATTTGCATAATTATAGATTTGCACCTAATTACATTAATTTGCACCAAATTATACTTTCCATTTCATCATATATTACTATAAAAATGTCTTTGTTCAGTTGTAATCAGTGAGGTGGCATTGCATGCAGTGAAGTGAAACGTGGTACACGGTTCGATTTGTTTTCAAAACAAGATCCAACTTTCCCCCCCCCCACTTTTTTAATTCTCAAATTGTTTATTAGATGTTTACTGGTTGGGGTTAGATAAGGGCTTGGGATCAGTTTATCTTATAAATGGAAGCAAATTGGTGTATTTTTTAGACGAATCGTCTATGTCTATGAACTTTTAGCACCAGAAACGAGTCATATAATGGCATTAAAAATCAAGGACTATATAATTTCTTCGCTATATTATTGGCCCATCATTATTTACGGTTGATGTTGATGATCATAGTTTACAGCATAGACGGATTTTCATATTTTTTACTGGGGGTGGTGCCAGAAATTTTAGGGGGGTGAGCCGTGAGCAGGTGTCTGAAGCAACACAAAGTGTCCCCAAACCCCAGTAAGGTCTATATTCTAGGGGTGGAGCACTAGAGCCGTGAGGGGGAGTCTAGAGAGCAGAAAACAAAGTATCCCTGGTGAAATTTGAAAAAAATCATGATTTTTAGCTTCGAAAAAAAGTTTTTTGAAGTTGTCATATCAATAGATTTGGCATGTCCGATTGTCTGTTGAGACTTGAGAGAGTTAAAGTTAAATGAACCTGTAAAAGTGTAAACCCGATAGGCCAATACACAATATGTTTTTACTTTTATAAAGTCATTGACATTGTGTCAAATCCAAGTACAATTTATGATGCAACTCCGATGTAAATAATATTTGGGGCATAAAGATTAAATCTAGGCAAGTCCATTTCCTAAAAGAATTTAAAACTAAAAATAATTTTCGTAAAAATTCCAAACATTCCTTGCAATTAGCAAGCTATTTGCATGACAAGGCACTGCGAACTCTATTCAGGGGAGATAATAGAGTTTCAAAACTTTACAATTTACCAGTGAATGCAAGCAAGGAGCGATTAGTATTGCACTGTAGTGTACTCCTACGTTTATTTAGTATCATCAACACTCTGCACGTTGGAGTGGACTATTTAATTATTTTTTATTATGCCGAATATTGGGGGGGTTGAAAATTTTTTTGGAGGGGTGGCCATTTTGTTTGGGGTGGTTATAGCTAATATTGGGGGGTAGCACCCCCCTGCACCCCCACAAAATCCGTCTATGGTTTACAGTGGGCCTGGCTTGTCAGGTTGAGTTGCCCGTAGCCGGGGGTATGCCTGAGCCGGCGTCTTGGTATATTATGGCAGATAGTTGCTGATCATGATTGTATTTATTGGTTGTATTTATATGGTCCGAACCTAGCTCCTGTATCCCTGTCTACTTCGAATTCTCTACTACACATTACACCCTACCATGAAAATTGCCATTTTCAGGCCAGTGTGAACACCTGAGCAGGCGTCTTGTTTTATATACAGAAAGGAATAATCTAACAGACAATAGGTTTTTCCTAAGATCACTCTGCCAGTCTGCCAGACTGTGGTTTTTGTATTAAATGTGCATGGAAAATGTTCCAGGCAGAAGATCTGCATTTTTAGATTTTAATCATCATCAGGAATTTTTTTTTCAACATTTTGACTAGATTTTGGTCATCATTACTCATTAATTAGGAATGAACGATGATGACTGAAAGTATTTCATTCTTGACAATGACAAAGTCCTGATATATGCATGATCTAGCTGAAATGTTGAATAAACAATTTCAAAATTTTACTATTTTCAGGGTTACTATTGTTTTGTATTTAATTAAAATACTCAGTGATTCCTGCAATTTCTTACAACTCTACCATCTCGGTATAAATCAACCATTGTCATATTAAAAATTACCATAGTTTTTTTATGAGAGCAATTTACCTGTAAAAGACTTCACCAAGTGGTGTCCAGTCTGCAGTGACATGACCCATCCTCGAATAATATTTCCCAAATACACTTTATCAACTTCTTGCAACTTAAAACATTGTCATAGCACCCTGGAAAACTACATGGTTTTTCAAAGAAAACGAAAACCAACCACAGGAACCTTTATTACCATACCATCAGTGCCTGCGAGCAATTTACAAACTTGGCCTAACTACTTGGTGTAGTGTTTAATGAAGGCAGCGTTCCAAGATGGCGACTTTTCCGCCAACAGCAAAAGGATATCGACCACGTTGTTATTTTGATGTAGAAATCAATGGTGTATCTGGTATGGTTTGTCATTTACATATTATATATTTGACTCAATACGTTTCCCTGTGAGTGCTGTTATAGAACTACTACTGTCTGTACGACTGTACTGCATAGTCGCATACTGACTACTGTGACTAGTGACTACTGCCATAATTTGACATAATTTGACATAATTATAATAGTATATACAGGCCAGAAAAATCTTTATAGTCATATAGAGGGTGCTCTATATATTATTTTAATGGAATTAAGCATCATTGCGTTATTATACTGGTTTGATTTTAGATAAATATGTCCACTGAGGATGTAGCCATTATTTCAGTCAATTTAATTCAGTGGACATGCTGTGATTGACTGATTGTGATGCCAATGCTGCAATTTAGTGCAATTATATGAAGTCAAGTAGTCAACGATGTGTGACTGCATATCACACTCACCAATCACTATATATAAATACAGTCACTTTGTTATAATTACTTATTGGATTCCACTGAGCCCAACATTGCAAAATATTAAAGCCCAACATTGTAAGTTGAGCCCTAATGTTTCATTATTTTGCAATATTGGGCAAAGATTAATCCATGCAATTGGTGTTTTATTATATCGAACAAAGTGATTATAACAAAAGTGTCTTTGTAAGGAATAGTAATAGCAGAGCAGCAATGCAATAGTAATAAAGCAACAACATGTGTCACTTATCAGTTGCAAATTTTCTTAAATAACTAAACAAAAAAGTTAATA